TGTGTGTGTGTGTGTGCATGTGTGTGTGTGTGCTTTGTATTCGCTACATACAACTCAACAGGTGTTGTGACAGACTTTTTGGCTAGACTTGCACCCGAACTCATGTGTGTTTCGCCTTTTACCTGCGCCCTCAGCTTCTTAATTGTGAGCTCCTGAGTTGCCTGCTTTTTGGAAAGCTCCTCCCCTTTTCAGATTTTTCCAGTTCCAAACCGAACAGCAGCCACATCGCCACGCAGGCAGGTGTTGGATAAGTGAGCAGCAGTTGCGGGAAGGGAACACAGACACAAAGGCCAGACAGACAGACATCCCTCGCAAAGGTCAGACTTCTCTTCTGTTGCATACTCGTGAACACAGACATAAGTATGGTGCAAATCCCCAGAACCGACCAGATAATACAGAGTGAATACAATTACAGCGGAAGACTTGATGCTGCATAAGTATGTTTGTGAGGGATTCGTTCCAGTTCAATGCACATGGATTGACTCAAACCTGACACAGACTGCAACGAATCCCTCACAAACATGCATTGGTGGTATGAAAGCCCTGGCCTTGGACATGGAAGAAAGGGCCAGGGGCTGATCTCATACACAGATGAATGGAGAGGAGGAGAGACGAAGGGAGGAGGAGAGGGAAGATGACGTCAACTCAATGCCCCCAAAAATAGTACCTCGAAATGTCATAAGTAGCGAAAATCCCAAATGTCGCAAATACAGAGTCTTCCAGTGTCCCAGATCTTGATCTCCTAATGCCAAGATACGTCTCCAGAGGTAGCGGAAGTCAGATCCCAAAAGTAGTCCTCGACCGAAAGTCTCAATGTTGTTATCTTCGATATCATCAGAACTCGTAACCATCCTTCATACTCGTAGTAGTCCAGTAGGAGTAACCCAAACAGTAGACTTAGACTTAAGAGGGCAAGAGGAGAAAGAAGGCGGAGGAGGAGAGAAGGAAGAGGGAAGAGGGGCGAAGCCTTTCTCCCCGATACCTGAGTGGCTGCGCTGTCTCTGCCGATGTCTGCTGAGGCCGAGCCTGGCGATGCAGCTATGGCGATGCAGTGCTGGGCGGCGGGCTGCGGGCTGAGCCAGAGAGCTGGCGCTAATTGCTGCTGCGCTAATCCTCCTCATCGCTGCGCTAATCTTTCTCGCTGCTCCGCTATGCTAACGCCGAAACGCTGCACTAATCTAACCTCCCTACTGAGGCGGGTACCCAGCTGATATAGCGCTGGGCCGGCCTCAGTACTGCTGGTACCTTCGGGTCTGGACCGTTGATCAGCCCAACGGTTCAGATCCGATGCCGAAGTCTGAAAGTGGCGCCTAACTTGGCTGCCTTCAAAACTGCGCCGCCGGTAGGTCCTGGTGTTGGACCGGTATCGGCCTGGCCCTTGTGACCGTTGGCCGACTCGGCCTCTGGGCCGACCTACAGGTCTGAACTGCATTGACCCCTGCCTGACCCTAGGCCTAAACTACGCCTAACTACGGAACCAGGCCCTAACTGGGGCCCATGTGGTGTCAAAATGCCACACTTCTCTGCTTTTTCAATCACCGTCACCTTCATGACCCAACCCAACCCACCCGATTCAGTTGAATTGCTCACTCAGCTGTGTCCCTCAGCCTTCAACTCGCGTCTAACTGGAGTTGAAGCCTTAACTCGATTGTGGGGAACCAGGGTAAAAAACCTGCATGCAACAAGCCCCCGATTCAGTCTCTCTCTCTCTCTCTCTCTCTCTCTC